CTCTATTTAGGTGGTAATGCCAAAGGCGCTGTTAGCACAGTACCACGCTTTATAATAGTTTCTATACGATCCTTCAACACTTTGGATGCACATTCCACTTGCAAAGTCCTGTAGTCTATATTTGCAACACTTTTTCCTATTGAAACCTTGGCTTTTTCGTCTGCTAAATTCTCCAACGACTCACCAAATTGGGCTTCCAAAAGAAGCTGGAGCTGGGATATTCTGCTAGCAATATCTGATTTCAATACTGTAGATGAGGCATTTCCGTTCTCGTGCTCTTGCTTAATATGAGAATGCTGGTGATCGTGGGAATGCTGTGTAGATGACATTTTGACCGATGCTGGAGATGAATCAATCGAGTATAGGATAGCGATTATGCTGTCCGCCAATGAATCAGCTGTCAAATTGTCATTGATCCACTCCACGGATATGTAAAGACCGGGACCTTTCGACCTATCTACTATAATGTCTACAACATCCATAATCACACACTCCCACTCATTTTCATTTTCATTGTCATTGAGGATATTGATGTAACCAAACATTTGCTTCAAATGCCAAATCATCAACGACAAATTTGCATTGATTTTGAGATTCATCTTCGATTTCACAATCGATGTAGACAATTGTGTAAATTCATTCAAGTCCTGCAATTGCACAAGATCCAACTCGAAATCTTTTGAAACGAGTACTCCCGAGACTATTTGGCCGGGCTTGAAAGTGCTTGTTGATGTCTTTGCCACCTCTTTCGAGTTTGGATCCGCTTCATCCTCCTCCATTCTAACATCTCCTCCCTCTTCATCCACCTCAGTTATTTTCTCTTCAATTTCCTTTTTCAAAGTTTGCAACTGCTCTTCCGCAAGTGACCCGAGAACCTTGGCTATCTTCAAGCCTTTGAATGCAATGTTTAATTCCTCACAATTTCTTGGGTTGAACACCTTGACTTCCTTATCCGTACCCTTTCGAGAAGAATACTTACTCAACAAAGCCGATTTCAATCTACCCATGGGGACTGAATCTCCATGGACCAAGATGATTCTTGAAGGAGACACCTTGTCAATAAACTCAGAGTTTTGTTGAAAATCAACATGAGCAGCAAATGAAATTTCCTCCACACCTATCCTCCTAGGTATACTCAAATCCGGGTTGTTCAACGATTGTATAACCTGAGGCTCTTTCAACAAGTCTTTTGCCATTGTCCCTTCCACTGAATATCCGGTCAATATGACAAGGTTCTTCTGTTCTGGTGCCCATTTCTCCAACAATTGTCTAGACACACCAGCTTGCAACATACCTGGTGTTGCCACGACTACAGATGGACCTAAATCTGAAAACTTTGCAAGGTTCCGTATCGACTTGATATACTTAAAGTCAAACGGACTAGATTTAGAATCATCTGATGAAGATGAGAGCCGTATTTTATCATTCATAATACCTGTATAGGTCTCATAAACGGCCATACATTTCCTAGCTAGATCAGAGCAGTAATAAACGCTCACATTTTGCAAATCTTCATTCTTCTCCCAATATTCGTCAAGAATTAACAAAAGCTCTTGTGCATTACCCAAGGCAAAAACAGGCAATAAAACCCTACCTCCTTTTGTTATTGTAGCATGTATATGATTGGTCAACTTCTTTTCTAACTCGGCCTTGGGCTCCAAAGTACCAGTACCAAAAGTCGACTCTGTTATTAAAACATCCGGCTTAACTGGCGGGATCTCGGCTGAAGGTAAATGTCTATTCTCTTCTCTCGAATAATCACCCGTGAAAAGGACTTTCAACCCTCCAATCTCAATCAAGTACATACAGGCTCCAAGAACATGACCAGCATAGTACGCAGTGAATCTAATTCCGTCAACTTCCATTGTTGAGTGAAAATCAATCGTCTCTATTCGATCAAATGATTTGAAGATGTCATCATCTGTGTACAAGTTGCCCCCCTCATCATTACCACCACTACCACCTTCAGTCTTTGAGTTCCCAATCGACGTCACCCTAACAAAGTCTTGCATCAACCAACGATATATGGCTTTAGTTGCGTGGGTCATGAAGACTTTGCCTCGAAAATTTGACTGTTGCATGACATATGGCAATGAGGCTGAGTGATCGACATGGAAATGACTTACCAATAGAATATCGACTTTGGACAAGTCATATTCGTCGAAATATGGAAATGATGCATGTCCACTCAATGCAGGATGCATTCCCGCATCCAACATAATCACCTTGTTTTTATATTCAATGATGTGGCACGATCGACCAACTTCGTTGCAACCTCCGAGTCCAAAAAACTTGAAGTTTTCTTCATTGGAGAAGGAACTGCTTTGCTCGCTCATGGTTGTGTGATATGTGAATGGTCGGATAGGTAGATACGAAAGGAGGAGATGAAATTCCTGTGATTGGAACTTTTGACTTTCGTCTTGACAATTTTTTCTCTGAATTATTTTGTGTTGCAAGTGAAGAGATATGTTTAAGTCTCTCACTCTCTCTCTCTCTCTCTGTGTGTGTGTGTTCTTGACACTAAGCATAGGTGAAGCTGCAACATGAAGCTAAAGCTAATGACAAGGAATATTGAGAAGCTCAAAGATACTTTGACGCTTATATCTCATCTACGAAAGTTTGTGATACTTAAAATTACACCAAAAGAACTCAATGTCATTCTGGTAAACAGTGGATCGGTCAATCTGGAGCCCCAAGTGTGGTGCAAGTTAAACACTTCACAGCTATTCGAGAGCATGGAAATACTGAGTATGCGAGATAATACCATACTGATGGAAATAAACATAGACTTGCTACTACAAACATTGAGAAACTTTGATAAAGCCAATAGTGAGGGGTTGAATATAAGACTACAACGGACAGATGCGAGTGGTGAGCAAGGAACAAGCACAAAGAATGGACGAACGGCGTCGTTGGCTCTATTTTACTCGAATATCAACGTTAACTCCAACGTCATTAACCATACATTTAAAATACCCGTAAAGATCTTGAAAGAAGCTCAAGATTTCTTTCACGAACCCTCGCATTCCGATGTTGGGCTTATAGTGAGACTACCGAACGAATTTGTCACGATATTCAAGCGTTTGGAGAAATTCAAAAAGACATCTTTCAATGATATTGTTGCCATACAAGCGAGTAATAGAGACGATGGGAGCTTAAAATTTGTTTTGGAAGACGATGGCAAATTTAAAGTAACCGTGAGTTGGAAGACAAAGTTAGAGTTTCATAAGCCAACGGTAACTGATGCTGATACCTTTCGTGAATCGTTGAAAAATGTTGACACGATGGTCCTGGAAAACTCTGACCTTTGGAGTCCGGAAGCAGTGAATATCAAGGTCAAATTGAAGGACTGGCAGCTGGCATCAAAGATTGTAGGACGATGCAAGACGGTAATTTTGTGTGTAGGACATCGAAACTGTAGTCTTCACTGTTTACTAGATGAGACTGAGGATGTTGAACTAGTCTACTTTATAAACGGTGTGAGGAGTTTGTAAAAGTCAATTGAGTCATAAAAAGTTTTGGTGAGCAATCCTGTAAAGTAATTTTTCAATTAATTAAGTTGTAATTTTGACTCTAGCAGCGATCCATACCACCCACTCACACTTGCACACCATACAACAACAATGGTAGAGACTAGAACTTTGGAGAGAAAAGAAGCGGACTTTTTTGGTGCCGGACCTGCACTCTTGCCCACGGATGTCTTACAAGAAGCTGCTCATGATTTGATTTCTTACAACAATGACATCGTTGGAATTGCTGAAATTTCACATCGTTCAAAACCGGCAATTGCTGTCATTGATGATACCAAGACTAATTTAAAGAAATTGCTTGACATACCCGACAATTACGAGGTCTTTTTCCTTCAAGGTGGAGGCACAACTGGTTTCTCCTCAATAGCTTACAACTTGCTTGCGAATCATGCCAAGAGGACTGGCAAAAAGGGAAGAGCTGCGTACGCCGTTACTGGCTCTTGGTCCGCTAAAGCTGCAGAGGAAGCTAAGCGTTTGGGATTTGAAGTTGACACTGTCGTCAATACCAAGCTGATAAACTACGGGGACATCCCACCTTATTCCGAGTGGGAACCCATCAAGGAAAACACTTCATACTTGTGGGTTTGTGACAACGAAACAGTCCATGGAAATGAATTTCAAGATACGCCTGGCTCAGATTATTTACCTGAAGGTGTTGAATTGGTTGCTGATATGTCATCAAACATTTTGTCCAAAAAAATTGACATTGAAAAATACGGTTTAATTATGGCTGGCGCTCAAAAAAATGTCGGTATTGCTGGATTAACCATCTACATTATTCGAAAAGATTTGTTAGATCAAGCATCCGATGAGGAATTGAACAAGTTGGAAATTCCGTTACTGCCTATCGCAACCCACTATCCAACGGTTGTTAAGAACAACTCGGCTTACAATACGATTCCCATTTTTGCCTGTCAAATCTTGAAGTTGGTCACACAGAAGCTTCTCAAGGAGGGGGGTCTTGCTGAAAGGGAGAAAGTCAATAACAAGAAGGCTGAACTTTTATACAAAGTCTTGGACTCCTATCCAAATTTCTATATTTTGCCGGTGGAAAATCCTAAAGTGAGATCCAAAATGAATGTTGTCTTCAAGTTGCCCAGTGAGGAATTGAACTCCAAATTTGTCGCTGAAGCTGATGCTGCCAACTTGAAAGGTTTGAAAGGTCACAGATCAGTTGGGGGAATTAGAGCATCCATTTACAATGCCGTCTCCCTTGAAAGTGTTGAAAGGTTGGTGAAGTTTGTTGATGAGTTTGCCAAAGCTAATAGTTAGAGTTGTGTACGTACAAAAACCACTTGTAACAGGACAAATGTACAGAAATGATGATGTTCCGCACTAGAAAAACCTGCACCAAAGAAGATCTTTGAAATTTTTCAGTTTTATCTGAGAGGCACGTTATCAGGAAAATGTTTCTAGCGTCATGGCGCCCTGTACGTACTCCACTACGATGCAGTCAATACTGTATAAGGAGCTACTCGCAGGCATCTTCGTCGAATGTTTTGTCTACAGAAGAAAAGAAACAGAAACTAAATCAAGACAAGTTTCGTAAAGAGTTGGAAGAACGAATATCGAAAATCCCTATTGCAAACTACAGAAACTTTAGCATCGTTGCGCATGTGGATCATGGAAAATCAACACTATCCGACAGACTTTTGGAACTTACCGGTGTTATCCAGCCTGGTTCGAAATCCCAGGTGCTCGACAAGCTCGATGTTGAAAGGGAGCGAGGAATCACGGTCAAAGCGCAAACTGTTTCCATGATTTATAGTGATCCTAATTCGGGAAATGATTATCTTCTACACTTGGTAGACACACCTGGCCACGTTGACTTCAGAGCAGAAGTTTCCAGAAGTTATGCTTCTTGTGGTGGTGCCTTGTTACTAGTTGATGCATCACAAGGAGTTCAAGCACAAACTGTTGCAAATTTTTACCTTGCTTACAGCATGGGCTTGAAGTTGATCCCAATTGTAAATAAGATCGATCTTGACCTGGCTGATATCCCTAAAGCCATTGAGCAGGTTGAGACGACATTTGAACTAGACTCGAAGGACTGTATTCCCGTGAGTGCAAAAACAGGTTTGAATGTGGATCACATAATCCCCTCCATTGTTGAAAAGATCCCAGCGCCTTCGGGCGACGAATCCAAACCACTTAAAGCGCTACTTGTTGACTCGTGGCACGACCCGTATGTGGGCGTGGTGATGTTGATTCATGTGGTTGATGGAAAATTAAAGAAAGGGATGAAAGTGTTGTCTGCTCATTCCAACAAGTCTTATGATATTAAAGAGGTTGGCATAATGTATCCTGACAGAACACCTATGGACTGGGTTAAAGCTGGGCAAGTGGCATACGTCATACCTGGGATGAAGAACCCCAGGGAGGCTTTGGTTGGTGATACATTTTTTCAATTGGGCAAAAGTGAAGGGCTTGAACCATTACCTGGATTTGAAGAACCCAAACCAATGGTTTTTGTCGGTGCGTTTCCTGCTGATGGACGTGACTTTAACGCTATGGATGACCAAATGCAGAACTTGGTTTTGAATGACAGGTCAGTAACCTTGGAGAAGGAAACATCCAATGCGTTAGGGTTGGGATGGAGACTCGGGTTTTTGGGCTCGTTGCATGCCTCTGTGTTCAAGGAGAGATTGGAAAATGAATACGGTGCCAAAATAATTCTTACAGCACCAACAGTGCCATATAAAGTGATTTATCGTGATGGAAGGGAGAAAATCGTAACCAATCCAGATGGCTTTCCCACCAATAAAATCGTCAACGAGGTTGAATGCTTTATGGAGCCGTATGTGGAGGCGATAATGACCCTACCTAATGAGTACGTTGGAACCGTTATGACCCTTTGTTTGAGTAACCGGGGCGAGCAAAAAGACATTGAGTACTTGAACACGGGGCAAGTCATGCTAAAGTATGAAATTCCAACGGCTCAGTTGGTTGAAGATTTCTTTGGCAAACTAAAAGGCTGCACCAAAGGCTACGCTTCATTAGATTATGAAGAGGCCGGGTACAGAAAATCCGACATTGTGAAAATGGAATTGTGTGTTAATGGCGAGCCACAAGATGCATTGACAACCATCATACATAAATCTCAAGCGTTGTCAAAGGGGAAGGAATACGTTACGCGGTTCAAAAAGTACCTTCGTTATCAACTTTTTGAAGTTGCGATACAAGCCAAAATCAACAATAAGGTAGTTGCAAGAGAAACCATCAAAGCCAAAAGAAAAGATGTGACTCAAAAGTTGCACGCTGCTGACATCTCACGATATAAGAAGTTGCTCGAAAGGCAAAAGGAAGGTAAAAAGCAAATGAAAGCTAGTGGTAGAGTTACCATAGGCAATGACGCGTACCAAGCGTTTTTACGACGTGATGATTAAAAAAACACCATTGAATCTTTGTATATACAAATAGAAAAGCTACTTTAACTGTCACTTAGTTTTTCAAGAATTTCTTGTAAAATATGTTATCTGACTCATCAACAAATGTGTAGCCAATCTTTTTCAAAAATTCCTGGAATTCTGTTTCTGAACCTTCGGGTAAAATAAATCCACATAGGACTTTACCAACGTCGTGACCGTGGTTTCTATAGTTGAATAAACTAATGTCCCAATCACTCTTTAATGCTTGCAAGAAGTTAAACAACGCATTTGGCTTCTCTGGGAACTCAAACAGATACAATTTTTCGTTGTCAGTTCTTGAAATGTGAGATTTTCCACCAACCAAGTAACGGCCATGTGATTTAGCCAATTCATTATCGGAAATGTCCACAACTTCAAATCCTGCTTTGGTCATGGCTTCTATAACGGAGGGCTTTTCTACCTTTTTGTCAACAACGTTGAACGAAACAAAAATGTTGGCCCTTTCGAGACCACTGCACCTGTATGAGAATTCAGTGATCGCTCTTGGATTGATAAGTTGTTGCAAAATTGCAAACTCGCCTGGCTTCTCTGGTATAGTAACTGCCAACGACACTTCTTTACCCTCACCCAAAACAGCTCTCTCGCTTACAAATCTTAACCTGTCAAAGTTCATATTGGCCCCCGACAAGATAGGAACATATGTTTTGCTCTTGTGTTCAATCTCTGGGTGATTTTCAATATATTTCTTCAATCCAGCAACAGATAAAGCACCGGAAGGTTCGGTGATGGATCTCGTGTCCTCAAAAATGTCCTTAATTGCAGCACAGATTTCGTCAGTATTTACTAATACAACCTCGTCAACCAAATCTTTACATAATCTCCAAGTCTCATCTCCTAAAACTTTGACGGCTGTTCCATCGGCAAATTGTCCAACTTTATCCAAATGTGTCAGCTCCTTGTTTTTCAACGATTGGTATAATGCGTCGGCGTCATACGTTTCAACACCGATAATTTTCACGTGAGGAGCTATGTGCTTCAAGTACACAGCTACTCCTGCTATCAATCCACCACCTCCAACTGGAACAAATATGGCGTCTAGTTTGTCTAGTCTCAACTGTCTCGTAATTTCCAACGCAACTGTACCTTGACCTGCGATGACATAAGGATGGTTGAATGGAGGAATATTGACCAAGCTATTCTCCTTACTTAATCTGGCGCATTCTTGCTTGGCAGAATCAAAATCGTCACCATATAAAACAACTTGAGAACCCAACCTTGACACGTTGCTGTATTTGATTGAAGGGGTCGGAGTGGGCATTACAATTGTTGCAGGTATCTTTAATTTGTTGGCAGAATATGCAACACCCTGCGCGTGGTTACCAGCAGAGCATGCAATAACACCAGACATTGGCTGTTTAGCGTTAGCATGCAAGTGAGCAATCATGTTATATGCACCTCTCAACTTGAAGGAGAAGACGGGCAACAAATCCTCACGTTTGAGGTATACATTTGAGCCACACTTTCTTGATAAATTGATTGCGTGTGATAACGGTGTACCGGCGTCCAGGACAATATCGTATACTCTCGAGGTTAAAATCAATTTAATGTAATCGGGTTGCGTTGTTCTGCTTCCGTTAGAATCCTGTACAAAATCTGATTCCGAAAGTTCTGGCCATTGAGGAACAGATGATGCAACAGTTGTATTTTTCCTAACAAATCCTCTTGCATGATGAAGACAAAGTGACGCTAGTACTTGTTTGGATGCCAATACTGGCCTTAGACTGATGAACATTGTAATTTGCAAAGGACTTTGAATAAGTGAATGTACAAGAACTTGACCCAAGAAAAAAAAAAAAAAAAAAAAAGAAAAGGAAAACAAACAAATGAGTAAATGAGTAAATGGGGTTAGTGCAAGATGGTATGTAGGTAGTTTTCTGTGATTGTAATCAAATGCAGCAATGAAAATATACAAAACATCAACCCAATTGACTCAGAGAGGTAGGAAGGGTGAAAAATTTCGCACATAGAAAAAAAAAAAAAAGAACCAATTGACTCACTCACACGACTTTTTGAATTAGTGTCATCTTCACCTTTGTTTTTTTTTCTTTTTTTTTTACTTTTCTGTACCTTGCAGTGAACTTGGTTATCCTTTCCTAAATGAAAAAGATAACGAAAGATCGTAGTTGGTTCCGAATGTTGCTGTTAAGAGGGGGTCATATAGCATACCCATAGTCAATGGCTCTACATCAAGTAAGCTACGAAACGGTACCATTGTGGCAGTTAGAATCGTAGTCCCTCCCTTCAGCATAATGCAAAGAATCAAGTGAGAGAACAATCAACTGAAAATTACAAAATGGTTGCAAAACCAAGACAAATGGATGTCTGCACACTTGCCAAAAATATAATAAGATCAAGGTGTCAACACTTTACACTCTCTTAAACCACAAAGCATTTGAGTTTCTCGTATTTAGCAAATTCTGAGCCACGGGGGGGAGGGAGGAGTTGTGATACTCTATTCGCTAATGTTTTGCGTCACCATGCTTTACAAACATCCTCCATGGTATTAATACAAAGCTGTTAACTGCAATCAAGTTCTTTTCGTTCCACCTTGTTCAATTTACACAAAACAGTCAGTAGTGAAGTCCATAAATATCTCTCCTTTATTCATGATACCCAATATTTATAAGGATTGTAACATAACATAAAAAAAAAAGACAGATTTTCGAAAAGTCCTTCTAACGCCTCCACAAATTAAGTTTATAGCTTTTGAACTTTGTTCGATCTGGTATCATTGAGTTCTTAATTAGTTTGGTATTATATCACGATTGATTGATTTTGAATACGTCGCCGTTTGTCATACGACTGCTTCATCACAACCTCATTTTTCACAGCCAAAACATCTTTTTTTTCATATCAAGTAATTTTGTCCTGTAATCTTTGGCACCTTTTTCACATTATTGAGGTAAACAGGAAGGTTGGGCGTGAGTTTTGCAAGGTGGCCCATTATGGACTTTGACTATGAAAACAACCACTTTGCTAACGAGATTGAACTAAAGGATGCCAAAGAAGAAAGCCATTCTAATAATATGGAGCATATAAACCTTAGTGGTGATGACACGCATTGCTTCACAGTTGAACCACACGCAAATATCAACTTTAGTTCAGTTGAATGGGAGTATTTGCAAATTGCTCAAGAATCACTTCAACACCATCACCAACACACATCTCATAGCAGTGGACTCGAAATTTCACCGTCAGTATCTAACCACACGTCACAACTGATGGGGCCGACGTTTACGACTGAGTATGATACCGACAATACCGAACTTCTTGGGATGCTTGAAAGTCAAAATCCAAGTAATTTGTATCTCTCAGCAAACCAACAGTGTGCCTCAAATGACAGTTTATTGCACCATTCAGCAAATACCAACAAAACTAACAACGAATTCACTTTTGAAAACCATTTGGATTCAAGTTATTGGGAGTATTTGTTGGGAAAGGAAAGCAACATGTTGGAAGATAGCAAGGACTTGTTGGATTCAAATGTCATTACTCGGCACCATGTCGAATGCAATGAAGAAGAGAAAATTGATGATCGCTTGAAGGACGGAACTATGAACTCAGCAGTTTGTTCCACTTGTACCCTTGAAGAGGATGAGTTGGCTGGCTATTCAATATACCACAATGAGGACGATCAAATCATGCAGTACAACTCCAATGATGAAATGGGAGAGAACAATCTAGAGGAAAAGTGTGTGTGGGATGAACGACTAACTTATGAAAGATACGATCAAGCCGAGAACACTAATTTTTTCAGCGATCCCATTGCCTTGCAACTTCTGGTTACACTGTCCTCGCCCCAACCACCGCCCCGACCAAGACCACGACAACGACAACGACAACGACCACAATCGCTGGCACTGGCCCTGGCCCTGGCACTGGTAGAACCACTTGCAAGGGTATTGCTGCCGAAGCGAAAAAATGGAAGATATATAACGGCACCAATATATGAATGGCCAGACGATGAAACCACCGGATCCTCAAAGTTTTATAACAAAATGAAGGTGCGATTATCGACCTTAGAGCCCAAATGTGTTAGTGAGACGGTTTTAAAAACAATACGGGAAGAATTTGTGGTCCAGGATTTATTTTTAAGCGGTGAGTCTCCTCCAAGTCCGGAAGTTCCAGAACTGATTAGAAAGAGGTCGGATCGGGATGTGGAGTGGACACCATTATCTGTTTACAAAGCGTACACAAATATAAAATCGCCAACAAACGGTAGAGAATCTTACAATAGATTGGTGCCATATTCGTCATGCATAGGTACATTAAATTATAGGCCGAAGGACCATGCTGCTTGGAAAAGAGCACCCAACAAGCGTCAATAAGTGTGTTTTTTTTTTGTTTGTTTCGTAGGACTATATATAAGTTGCTGCCCTCAAGGAGTCTTGTCTAAAGAGGGCAAAGCAAACTAATAAACTCTAACATGAACTTAGTGTTGTATCTGTAGCATTCTCTTGTGAGTAGAATGTAACTATGAAAGTTGGAACCGATACAGTAAAGTAAGTAAGGTTCGTGTGTGTCTCTTCTAAAAGCATCCGCATCAGTGCTGATTTTTATCTCCAAATTTGTAGCAAAAAAATTTAGAGTCATAGCGAATCGGGAAGCACCAAGGCTGTATGCCATCGAGGGAGAAATCAAACTACAGATATCTTCTTGATCAGTGCATTACAGTAATCATTGACGAAATACATACATCCTGTTAAGCTCAAGAGATGGTTTTTACATAATGATGTTTTCTTTCTAAAGAACCTCGGATACTGCAATAAAGACTTCAACTAACCGCCTTTCCTGTTTTGTAACTAAAGAGACTAATTTATCATTTGATTACTTATTGCACGTGCACTGGAGTAATCAGAAATAATACTGCATATAAACCTTTTTTTTCTCCATACTTTTTATTTTCTATTTTTTTTTCTTTCTTTTATTTTTATTTTTTTGACTCTTATTTAGTAGTTTGAAAATTTATATCCCATCTTCTATTGCGATTTGGAAATAAAAGAAGCACTGACTGCAAATTTTTCTTCCCTTCTTTGGCATTTGATTAGCTTCGAAACTTCAACTTCTTTCTTATCACCTGTCATTTTTCCTTTGCAACCACCTATCAGCTTGAGCAAGTGTTTCCCTTGAGAGATGAGTTTGAATAAGGAAGAGGCTATTGCAAAGACAATAGACCACGTTAATGGAGTGAACTTTGTTACCCAACCAGCCAAATCGGTTGAGTCGCCATTCGCAAAGTTGGTATCAAACGCAAACGTCTTAATCAACTCAAACGATCCATATGCAGTGGTGGAAAATTTCTTATTGGATAGAGACAATGAAGAAAAAGATCGGGAACTAGAGGGAGCTGAAGAACAAGATCTCGATACCGTTACAATCACTACAGATGCAGTTACCTTGTTGAAAAGTTTACCCTTTTTGTCTGCATCGTCATTCAAAACCAACAAGGTTGTCAATCATGTTGAGATCAGCAATAAAGACTTTACTGTTGTCACCAGTTTGAAGGACTTGAATTTCCCAATACTAGTATCGCAAAATGCACGCGAAAGTTATCACTTTGCAAATTTGGCATACAATTTAGCTGAGAGGTTAAACACTTCGGTTTTCCATTTTTACGTCGCAAACTCTTTGTACAAATCTAGTGAAACTGTCAAAACCTCTGAAGGGGTATTTTTGAAAAACTTGCACGAGTTGTCGTTCGACAAGATTTTGGATGAATTTGATACCCAAGCATTTGAAATTGTAAACAAAGTGCAAAAACAAAACGCTGCTGTTCTTTACCTTGGTCAATTAGATGACGCGTTGCTGGAAGCTGCCACTAAAGCTGGAGTCTTGGTCATCAACATAAAGGTATACCAACCATTCCTTATCGCTCGCTTACTCAAAATCGTTCCCGCCGAAGTTGAAACACTCACCATTGTTCAGCAATCCAGCTCTGGCTTCTCCCAATTTTCCCCATTAATCCTCGATTTTTTCGCTGAGTATTCAGAACACCAAACTTTGAAAAATTTTACAAAGATTATTTCAGCCACATTTGGTCCTGTTGTCGATTATACTAAAGCTTTTGCCAGTCTTGTGTCAAATGCAAACTCTGACAAACCAGAACAAAATTCATTCTACGGTGAATCTGACAAGGGTCAGGACTTAACTAAGCAGCATCAAAAATACGAAAAAGCCGTATCTGACGCCCTCAATTTAGAGCAAGCTTACTTGAAGATTTTGCAACAAGTTAATGACACTAATTTGAAGGTGTTGAATGAGTACCAAGCTGAAAACATTGGGTTGGAAACAAACCCGGAATACGGTTTTGGGTCGTTTTTGTATGACCAAGAACAACAAGAGAATTTAGCTAGATTAGTGCAAATTGCTTTAAAGGAAAACAAGTTTCAAACAAAAGACAACAAGAAATTGATTGACTTGTTATCACAATGGTTAGTTCAATTGCAAGAGAATGGTGAAGTTGAAAATAGGATACCACTTGAGGCTATTGACTTATTGAAGTCGGATGATTCATCAACATCTGCTAGAGAACTTCTTGCTTTATCCACTTACTTCACTACTAACAGAAACTGGCTTATTGGATCAGATGCTTGGTCCTATGACTTGGGATCTTCAGGAGTTCACAGTGTTATTGCCTCTGGTAAAAACATCAACATGTTGATTATAGATTCCGAGCCTTATGCCGATAAATCGTCAGACAAGACTGTTAATGGATTCAGAAAGAAAGACGTTGGGTTGTATGCAATGAACCATGGAGATTGCTACGTCGCGTCTGTGGCCGTTTACTCGTCTTACACACAAGTATTGCAAGCATTTATTGAAGCTGAAAAATTCAATGGACCTTCGATTGTTTTGGCATACTTACCATACCACAAGGAGTCTGATAGCACGTTGGCAGTCTTGAAGGAGACCAAGAAAGCAGTCGATACCGGATACTGGCCTTTGTACAGATATGATCCAACAGCTGCAAAGGATAATGATGTTTTCAAATTGGACTCCTCAAATTTGAGGAAACAATTGCAGGACTTTTTGGATAAAGAAAATAAGTTGACTTTACTTGCTGCCAAGGATCCAGTGTTGTCTAGAAACTTGACAGCAAATGCGAATACCGAAGCCAAACTCAAACAAGCCAAAATTGCAGACGAATCTTTTGCTAAGTTGTTGCAAGGATTGTCTGGCCCCCCATTGACAGTAGCTTTTGCATCTGATGGAGGAAATGCCGAAGGTTTGGCTAAAAAGATCAATAGACAAGCTTTAGGAAGGGGATTGAAAGCAAATGTATTGGCTATGGACGAAATTTCAATGGAGGATTTACCCAACGAAACCAACATTGTTTTTGTCACGTCCACTTCCGGACAAGGTGAATTCCCTGGAAACGGTAAGCAATTTTGGGATGGTCTCAAGAACTCTAATGACTTGGATCTTTCCGGTGTGAAATTCTCGGTATTCGGTTTAGGTGACTCAGAATATTGGCCAAGAAAAGAGGACAAGCACTACTACAATAAACCTGGTAAAGATTTACACGCCAAACTTAAATTGTATGGTGGAGTTGAATTGGCCGAACTAGGTTTGGGAGATGATCAAGATGCAGATGGATTTTCAACCGGTTTCGAAGAATGGATTCCAAAGATATGGGCTGCATTGGGTGTCGATAATGTTGAAGGGGTCGAAGAGCCCAAACCAATCACCAATGAAGATATGAAGATCGGTTCTGATTATCTTAGAGGTACCATTGCAGAAGGATTGCAAGACGAATCAACCGGTTCAATTTGTGCTGTGGACCAACAGTTGACCAAGTTCCATGGTATTTATATGCAAGATGATCGTGATGTGAGAGATGAACGCAAAGCTCAAGGTCTTGAGCCAGCATACGCCTTTATGGTTCGTGTTAGATTGCCAGGTGGTATTGCAAACCCTAAACAATATTTAAAGATGGATGAATTGGCTGATGAAAGGGGTAATGGTACATTGAAGTTGACAACTAGAGCTACTTTCCAACTTCATGGTGTGGTTAAGCATGATTTGAAACCAGCTATTAGGGGTATGAATTCCGCTTTGATGGACACATTGGCCGCATGTGGTGATGTCAACAGAAATGTTATGGTATCAGCATTGCCTAACAACGCCAAGGTGCACAGTCAAGTCTCTGCCACCGGTACTTTGATTTCAAACCACTTGTTGCCAAATACAACTGCTTATCACGAGATTTGGTTGGAAGGCGAAATGCCCTCCGATAAGCCTGGAGATAGAGAAGCTTGGGAAACGCGTAAAGAAGGTCCCACCAAGAAAAAGACGTTGGTTGCCGGTAATGTTTTGGCTGATGTTGAGCCTTTATATGGGGTCACTTACTTGCCAAGAAAATTCAAGATTGTCATCACAGTTCCTCCATATAATGATGTGGATGTGTATGCCCATGACATTGGGCTAATCGCCATTGTTGAAGACAATATTGTTACTGGATACAATGTTTTAGTGGGTGGTGGTATGGGTACAACTCACAACAATAAAAAGACCTACCCTAGAACAGGGTCAATGTTTGGTTACATTCCAAGGGATCAAATCCACATTGCTTGTGAAAAGATCATGTTGGTGCAAAGAGATTTTGGTGACAGAACAAACAGAAAGCATGCTAGATTAAAGTACACTATTGATGATTTGGGTGTTGAAGTGTTCAAATCCAAGGTCGAAGACTTGTTGGGATACAAGTTTGGCGAACCAAAGCCATTCAAGATTGAAAACAATGTCGATCATTTCGGATGGTGTAAGGATGAGTTGGGATATAACCACTTTACCGCTTTCATTGAGAATGGTAGGATTGAGGATACACCACAATTACCGCAGAAGACTGGATTGCGTAAGATTGCTGAGTATTTGCAAGACAATAAAAAATCGGGAGAATTTAGATTGACCGGTAATCAGCATATCCTCATCTCCAACATCAAGGACGATGACTTGCAAGATGTGAAGGATTTGTTGGCTAAATACAAATTGGACAACACTGAATTCTCAGCATTAAGATTGTCGTCAGCTGCCTGTGTTGCTTTCCCCACTTGTGGTTTAGCCATGGCAGAATCCGAGAGATATTTGCCTGAATTGATCACCAAATTGGAGGAAGCATTGGAGGATTACGGATTGAGACACGATTCCGTGGTTATGAGAATGACTGGTTGTCCAAATGGTTGTGCTAGACCATGGGTCGCAGAGGTGGCGTTGGTTGGTAAAGCTTATGGCGCTTATAATTTGATGTTGGGTGGTGGACACCATGGCCAGAGATTGAACAAGATTTACAGATACTCGATCAAGGAGGATGAGATATTGGCAATCTTGAAAGACTTGTTCAAGAGGTGGAGTAAGGAGAGAAATGATGGAGAGCCTTTTGGTGACTGGTGTATCAGAGCAGGAATCATACAGGAGACCACTGAAGGAAAGTATTTCCATGAAGGAATTCCTGAGGACGCATAGTGTATAGTAGTATATTTATTTAAAGAAAGTCTAGAGTATTGCATAGAAGATGTTGTTGAAAATAGTAAGAAGCCCTCTGCTGAGACATTGAATTATGACGCGATTTACATTCTCTAGCCAAGTTGGGGAAGCAGCCTGTTCCATTTCTGTGACGCTCTCATGCAAATGCAACAGTTCCAAATTTATACCATTTTCTGTCTGACTGCGTGCTTTTTCAACTCTTGTATATCCTTTATCAAGCTTCTAGCTTCTAATTTTCTTCTCCTTTCGACTTGCAATACATCTTTTATCGTAACCTGGCGTAAGGATACACTGACCCTGTTTAATCTTCTCATTACCGCATGGTGTGTCTGCTGTGTTGCTCTATTAAGCGCATCTTCGTTTCGTTGTGCTATTCGGGAACGCTCCAGCTTTAAATGACTGATTAGGGCCTCCTTTTGTTTTCTTGTATATGCCATCTCCTTTGCCATATGTTGATCGAGTCGGCCTCTCCTGTCCCATCCAAACTTTTCGTGTGAACGCAATCAATTTCTAGATATTTTGTAATTTTCGTGTGGCAAAAAAAGGGAAAAAAAAAAAAAGCTTCATCAACCACAAGCAAAGCTATCTTTCAGCCTGTTCCAACAACGCAACGCTACGCCCAAGATGGTCCTCGAAGCTACAATGGTCGCTATAGACAACTCCGAATATATGAGAAATGGAGATTATCTAACTACAAGATATGACGCACAATTGACTGCAACAGAGTTCATATTCCAAAACAAGATTAATTCCAATCCCGAAAATACAGTGGGGTTGTTGGCTTATGGGGGCACGGGTCCTCAAGTCTTGAGTACATTAACAACAGACTATGGTAAGATATTGTCAGGAGTGCACGAGACCAAAATTCACGGTGAGAATCACTTCAGTAATGGCATTGAGGTTGCTGCATTAGCCTTGAAACATCGTCAAAATAAAGTACAACATCAAAGAATCATAATATTCGTTGGGTCTCCTTTGAAGGAAGATGAAAAGCAGTTGGAAAAACTTGCAAAGAAGTTAAAAAAGAACAACGTGGCCATCGACATCATAAACTTTGGTGAAGAAAGTGTAAATACCAGCAAATTGGAAAAGTTCCACTCAATTGTAAACAACCACGATAATTCACATTTGGTAACCATCCCACCTGGGCCAAGACTTTTGTATGAAGTTGTTGCTACATCTTCTATCCTAGTGGAGGATGGTGCTTTTGGAGGTGCAGGCAGTGGCGAACAAGACTTTTTCGGTGGAGGTGGAGTTGCAGGTGCAGGAGACATTATTGACCCTAACATGGATCCAGATTTAGCTTTGGCATTGAGGTTGTCTTTAGAAGAAGAGAAGGCTAGACAGGAAAGGGAGGCTGCCGAAAAGGCCAAGAGCGAGGGCGGTGGAAGTGGAAGTGACAAGCCTGAAGACGCTAAAAAAGATGATGGAGACAAAGACGGTGGTGATCAGGATGTGAAGATGGAAGAGTCTAAATAGAGTAATAGCTATAAGGAGGTTCGAATGATGAAGCTTTATCGCCATCGAAGTGCGCGTTAATAATGTCCTGTATTCTGCTCACAATTTTTGTTTTTTTTTTTTTTATTTTTTTTCCCACAAATATTTCTTGTGGCGGTTGCAAAACTAGACTAATTACATTCTTAACCTCATCTGTTCCACCCATTCACATTGAAGAAAAGCAACACCCTTAACCATGCGTAGACGTAATGTTGATCAGTCACAAAGCCCATCAAGGAGACCTTTAGCCAACGCCAAGATAACTGTTGTCTCAGCACCAAATCAACATATATCTGGGTCTGGACCATATCAAAAAAGTCAAATTGGGCAAAACTTTGGTTTACCGGAAAGCTTCCTCCCACCAGGTGATGAGTTGGTTCTCAAGCCCATCCAGCTGACCAAAGCCCATTTTGTTGATGCGTACTCAAAGGTTCGTGATAGATTATTACTTTTTGGTTCTCTATTTTGAAGTCGATACTAACAATCGACTTAGGGAAAATGGAATCTTTCAAAAGTTCCTTGTCCTCCTTTCATGGAAAACTCAGGGTATATGAAACCACCAGAGAGCTTTAATGAAATAACTCGGTTGGAGTCAGTCACCAAATACAAGGATATGGAGCATTGGGGATGTTCCAGCTTTTTCACCAAACTATTGTCGAGATTGAAGAAGGAGTTCAAAGTGTGCGGTGTGTCTATATCGTTGATTGATAATCTCAAGTGTTACTATAAATTTGAAGCATGTTTAGGTATAGCTTCCGTTCCTCGCTGTGTTGCTATTGACTCCCATGCGATCTTGTCAAATGGCAACTTTTTATTGTTAGATGCATCCAAGGATTGGAGAACTCGTACAAATCCATTGATCACAGGAGCACCATATGTGAAGTTTTATTGTGGTGTGCCCCTTTTGACTGATACTGGTCATGTGATTGGGATATTGGCCATTTTTGACAATCATCCAAGAAAGGAATTTAGTGAAGAATGTTGCAACTCGTTTGCAGCGTATAGAGACGAGGTGATGAAATTTTTGGATTCGCCAGTTCAAAAGAAACATATTCAACCGTATCAAGGAATTACAGACTCTTTGTTGTTATATGGGAATAGAACGAAAATAGATTCATTGGTTGAGTTGAAAAGGGAATTGGGAAGACCAACAACTAACAAGTCATCACTTGTATACGAAAAGGATGGCTCTGGGGGACCATATAACCAAAATCAAAACATTCGCTTCTATGCTTTCAACAAAAAGATTAAGCGGGAAGGATCGACTCAAGATATTGAAAAGAAGAAGAAAGTGCTACGAGGGGAGATTCTTGCAGTCCAGAAGTCGGGACCGCAACTGGATTCCTCTTCCTCCCCAGATATCATTGATGACAAGAAAATGTGGCACATGCTTTTCAAAACTGGTTCGTTGAAAAAGGCTGCTGGTTTGTTGTCAAGTGTACTTTCTGCAACATTTGACTACGATTTGGTCTACATTTTAGAGATAAGGGTTGCTGAAAAGTGCAGGATTTTGGGCGACTACTTCCCGCCAGGTGTTGACAAAATTGATTTGGATCTGTTTAAATTCGCAAACAAGCTTGTCAAATCAAGAAAACTGCCAAATGAGTTTATGACTCGCTTAATTGGTCGCAATAAACATTACGACACAGGCTCAGTGTCCCAAGCCAAAATTGAACAGTTTTTTCAAAGTTCAATACACTACAAGGCTTTCATTTCTGAATTTGGTTTAGAATACACAAACATCAAGCAAGACACATTATACAACCATGGGGTATTGATGCCCTTCTTCAGACACGACTCAAAATTGGTTAGAAACAGCGAGGTTAAAAAGGATAAGACTGCCAAATATGTGGACTTGTATTTGAGGAATGGTGGATTTTTGATTGCCTTGTTCTCACGCAAAGTTAAACCAATTGATAATGAAATAGTGTCAGCTATCTTCAATCACGCATGTACTTACAGGAAAATCTTTATAAGCTCCCAGTAAATAGACGACACTGAATGTTTACGCACTGTGCGTTCAACTTCAAAGTATCACTTCTCTCGCTCTTGGTCTGCCTGTCTCATCAATTCCAAAGCAAGCTGTTCCTGTTCCTCTTCCCCCTCCTCCCCTTCTCCTTCGTTAACTTCTACTCCTTGCTTTTCAAATTGATCTTCCTCCTCAATTGGTATTTGAGGAGATGTTTTTCTTGATGTTTCAAAAAGTGTAGCCATCTCATCATCTTCCAAATCATCCCAATCATCAGGATCACCTGTGGTTTCTGTATTCTCTATAGCAGCGCCATTTCCAACTTGCTGACTTTGAGTTTCCGTATTGGATGATGACGTTGTCGCACCGGTCTGCATAAAGTCCCACCCTGTTTCGTCATCATCGTCTTCCGCATTGACGGCAGTTGGTCGCAATTCGGGTAGCTCATTATTCACGGTTTCATTATTATCGTTACCTTCCACTGCCTCATCTTCGTTCGTGTTCCTACTCTCATTTTCATCAATGATCCCTTTAGCTACCTTGAGTTTATAGATTTCCTTTTCAATCATCTCACGTCTATACAATCGCAACTGCGAAGATTTGTGACCCAAGGATCTAACAAGGTATGCGCAATCTTTAAAGTTTGCCTTAGGAAACATCCCGTGGCACCAAAGCTGGTAAAATTGTAAAATTGAAACTAGGTTCTTGTACTCATGATCGTGCTTAGCTTGACGCGAGGTTTTGTAATTGGGTTTCACAGAAAGCTTTTCCCGTTCTTGCCTATTGAATTCTTTGTCATTTTTTTGAATAATTCGAAGTAATCTCTGTTGGTTCTTTATCAAATGAGGTAATCCACGTGGGTTGTGCAATATCCTGTCGTCATCGATCTTTGCAATCTTCTTTCTAGTTTTAAGCTTTAGTGGCCCGTCAATTCCTAGCAAAGCTGGATCGTCTAGTAAGTTGTCATTTCTCTGTGTTTCTTCTGTTTCAGGGGCGGTACCAGTCGACATGGTGTGAGTTGAGAGTAAGATTTGCTTACACTTGTGGACTGGTTCTTCTTTGGGGTTGATAGATTTTTTTTCAAAATAAAAAAAAAGAAAAACAATTCTCACGCGTGGCACACCCAGAGCGCGCTTCCGTACACAACTTCCCCTCGAGTAAAACTTCCGTTATGTGAATGGTAGCTCGAGGTACTTTTGCTACATTCAAGCTGAGGTCCAGGTCCATCGGGATAGCAGAAATGTACTCAGTGGAATATCTACCTAGACTTAACCAGTTGTCAATTGAAATAGTAGGTAACAAACTTGATGCTGTAACTGGAATCAAAGTGGAGGAAGGCAAAGATATCTCAATTTCCATCAAGTCGTTGGACGACCCCGTCAAAGTGAGATGCCCTATAGTTATCACAACTGCAACTCCAACAAGTATCAAGCTTCAGGGTACAAAACTACTAATCTGCTTGAAAGTAGACCCACAAGCAGCTTGGCAAATAACCTCGCAAGCGGCAGGTGAAGAAAGTGGTCCAGATAAATGGTCTTGTGGATGGTTAAACAAACGCACTTCAAAAACTGGATCAAAAAACGAATTTCAATTTACTTGCAGTAAATGTCAAAGTCCGTTAGTTGATTCTTTGAGGCATGTGTTCAAGGATATGCCTGGTGACTATTGGTACGAGCTCATGGATTTTTGGCATTGCCACAAACCAGATAACAATCAACCTACTGATAAAGACTATGGCATTTTGACGCCAAAAGACGACAAAACCATAGTAATTGGATCATTCTACCTCTTGGAGACTGTCAACCTGTCACTACAGCTTATTAAAGAGAACGGCGTTGCCTTATACGCATGTAAAACATGTCGTCAACCTATCGGGGATGAGTTCCAAAGTGTGATACGCCTTTTCAAGTGGAAATTGAACCTCGTGTACATCAAGGATAATCAGAGGTTGGTTTCTACGTACGATCCTTTATTGTATGCTGTTAATTTATTCAACACCAAGATGCAGTCACTGGCTGTGAGGAAATTCGCTATTAAAGTAAATCAGGAAACTTTGTGTTGTTGGATAATAAACACGGATATTGATGTCACAATTGAAGGACGAATTCTTCCCAAATGTTTGAAAATTTGGTGGTATTCCGTGGCCCAAGGTGACAAGATTGATAGCAGCTACGAGCAGACGGAAATACTATACCAGGAGGTGGTAGACATACTTTTGGAAACGCTACTAAATAATACAATCAATTCTATTGTTGGAATCAGTACCATAAACTATCAAGTTAGTTACATACCCAGTCTATTGTTTAAATGAAGAAAAATGAAAAAGAAAAATCTACTTCTCCAACGCCTCCTTGACTATAGGAACGACTTGTTTTCGAGTAGCCGTAACCTTCTTTTGGTTGAAAATCTTCAAGTGTGAATCTCTGTCGTTGATGGCATTTATTAAGGAGTTGATAGCCTCGCATTTGTACAAGTCTGTGCTTAGTTCAAGCTGCTGCCAAACCAGCTGATACAAATCGGCATACTTTCCATTCTCTTCTTCAAAGTAATATGAAAACTCCCTAGTGTGTATGCCTGTTTCTTTTTGGTTGAAAGATGAAGTGATGACTAGCAAATCAATTTGGTTGTTCTTCAATGTCTTTGAAAGGTCCTGCTTGATTTCATCTGCTGAAAATTTGTTTGCGATCCACAGTAAAGGCTTGCTGATTGAACTGAATCCAACTCTGTCATTGTGAAGAAACTTGAACTGCTTATAGTCTTTTCTCAAAATATCTGCAAAGCTGAATCCGCTGATGTCTTTCTTTGCCGTTTTCAATGTCTTGTAGAAGTCATCGTAGCTGGATTGCGATGCAAAATTAACAGTATCATTAGCCAAAATTCTTTTGTAAAATTCAACAGCTTTGACGTCAGGGTCTTCGACTTTCTGTGTCATGTTAGAGGTGTCAATTAGTAATGGTCCCAATAGCAATTCAACTACATCTTTGTTCGTCTCCCAAAACTTGTCATTTTCTGATGTTAAACTGTGAAAGTAATGAAATACCAACGTCGAGTTTGACCCACATGTTCTAATTACTCTAGGATCGGCGTTTTCAAATATTCCTTCATCGGCGTGGTGGTCTATTATGGCTTCAACATTGATGAGTCCAGCATCGAAAGCTTTGTTGATCTCGACCCCTTGTAAGCCGTTGTGATCGACCAAGGACAAATCAATCGAGGTGCTATTTTTTAAGAATCCATCGAAATCTTCAACAAAGTACAAAAGATCTTCGGTGATATCATGATATTGTAAAAGCTTGTTGATGTCTCTTCTCAAGGCAAAGTCTGCTTTGGGAATGTCAATCAATGGGATTACGAATTGACCAGGTGCTTTGAGGGAATGTGTCAAGAACGCAAAAGTAATAGCAGACACAACAGAGTCCATATCTGCCGACTGGTTACCTGTGACAACTCGATACGGAGTGCTGACATTTTTTTGCTTCAATGCATGCTTCAAGTTAACTAAGTAGGATCTAACCGACATTTGGCAGCAGCGAATAAACGAGTCAGGTGGGGGGCGTTTGTGAGATGCACGGCTGTTAGTTAAAGGTCCACAATGGATGAAGAGAAAAATAATCTGGACGAAAGAGGGGATTGCGAAAAGAGAGATCTCATTCACAGAGCACTACGTGTTTTTACGGCATCGTTTCCAAATTGCATCTTTACTAAACCAACCTTTAACATAAACCTATATATCACTTGGCGTAGTGCAACTTGATGTCTAGCCACTGTCTTGCTTTCACCTCTTCTGGCGTCAATGAAACATCCCCGTATGTGATTGGTCTAAAGTAGAAAAAGAACCAAATGATACCAACAGACGCAACACCAACCAAGGCTGTCATCTTGATCTTTTTGAATTTTTGATTTGCATGCAATGACAACGCTGAATTGTTGGAACAGACAAATTCAACTAACCCACCTGAAAATAAGGCGGCTATTAGATGAGCGGGCAAGTAATGGTGCAAAAACTTTTGACGATTCATCAAGTAGAAGGGGAAATAATGGGCACACCAACCAATGAACAAAAATCCCAAGGTGTTGTATAGTCTCGATCTAGCCTTTTTGCTCAACAAATGGTAATCCCTTCTAAGGGTGATTTGATCAGCCAAGACTAGACCAACATAAATTGACAAGAAACACACTTCCAACCAAAAACCGATTACATTTCCGACAAAAAAGATTTGCTTTTTTGCCTCATTGTCGTTGAAAAAAGACACACCACTCAATGCTAGTGGCCATGAGTCAGGTTGCGATGCAAATGGGTGTGTTGAACTAAGTTGATTGTTATGGTGAAACATCAAGCCTTGCAACTCCCACCATTTTTTCAAAAATGGAATGGACTTGATTTTCTTTGGTACGTACTTGCTTCTGGGATCAGATTCATCCAAGTTTGTAATCAGATCAAATGTCCATACATTCTCTTTGCTTTTGATGTTTTTGTTTCCACTAACTTCTTGTTGGTTGAACCCCCATTCAGGTAATAATTCGTCATTGTGAGTCCACATGGCGACAACTGTGTCCATATGCAAAACTCTAAATGGAGTAGCCATAGTCTTGATTTTCTTTCTTTGGTTTTGTTTCTTTGGTGATGACCCTGGAACGTCCAATTTCAATCTAAACAACGTTTCATTGTATCTCGTTTCAGCGACATCGTCAAAGACTACAATAAACTCCTCATTCGTTGCTTTCAATGGGGAGGCAACATCGTGTGTCAAAAGATATCCACCAGTTCCGACGTGCTTGAACCTCACAACATCGTTGGTGTAGACATCCTTTCCCTTGGCTCCATCGTCCTGTACAGCAACAGGAATAACTTCCCATTGGTTGTTTGGGTCAGAAGCAGCATTTGCAGATTCAACACAAGTAACTTGTTGTTTGTTTGAGGAAATTCTTCCATCTTCATAACGTAAGGGATACACGTGTTCGTGAGAGTGTAAAAATGCGCCAGTATCTTTGTGCTTGATGGTTATTTGGTCGTAGTATTGTACCTGCTTTGAGAGCTTTGCTAATGGGGACTCCTGTAATGTCTCTTGAAACTCGGATGACATGAAAGAGTCACCAGGACCAGACTTTGTTAATATAGCAAAATGAATGTAAAACCAGGTCAAGTAAATGATGAAAGGAATAATAATCAAGGCCCATAATCTAGCAAAAAAGTGCTTGCTAAATTGCTGCAAGGTTAATCCTTTCCTATAATCTAACAAGATCCACAATTCATGACAGACGGCGATACCAATGGTAAAGTAGGTGAAGACTCCAACATACTTGGTTGAAATGACACACGACAATGATACACCCGTAGCCAATAACCAAGTCCACCATTTCTTACCAAAAGGCTCTTTTCGAAAGGTTGAAAATTTGCAATAACTGAATATTGTCAACGCAACACTCAAGATCAAAGTTGCATCCAACAAGATCAACCTGCTATCCACCACTTGAGCAGTGTCAAAGCAAACAATAATAGCAGAGAATAGACATGCAGCCACACTGAATCCCAATGTTTTCATAGTCCAAAACATGATTGGCACAACAGCCGTTCCTTGAATAGCCAGTAAACTTCTGTACGCAATATAAGGAACATTGTTTTCAGTGTAAGAGTCACCAATCGCATCGAATTTGAAGCGACCGTTGTAGCCAATTAACCAACCCACAAAAGCTATCAACAACTTGGCAAAAGGTGGGTGTAGGTCAAAAAAGTATGTACGCTCCAAATAATACGACGCAAACTTCCCAAAGTGGACTTCATCAAATACAACCTTATCAGGAGTGCCCAATTTTGTAAATCTGACATAAAACGCAAGAACGGTAACAATCGACAATGCTATCCAATACTTGTACTCGGGTTCGGTACTCACTGATTCGTATGCATCAACCTCTTTCTCTTTCAATTGCTTTTTGCTTCTTTTACCATTGTTGCTGTGGTCGCCAACTGGGACATCAATAACAGTATCAGAGACTAGTGGGGTCTTTTTTCCAGTACCTGACCTTTTCTTCACTTGAGACATGTTACTCGTACACCTAACGCTACTTCAATCAGTTCAAGCAATGTGATTTGAAATTGTACTAGTCAATTGAACAAAAGGAAAGATTAAGAAATGGTACAACAGAATGCTGTTGTTGTTGTTGTTGTTGTTGTTGTGATTGAACTCGGATGACGTTACAGAAGGTAAAAAGAAGTTTGGGGAAATTTTTCCAATTGGTGAGATCTGACAAAGCAAATGAAAAAAAAAAAAAAAAAAAAAATGGTTCACAAAAACACGTCAACCTTTTTCTTCTTGTTGCAAGGCTTGTTCTAATGCTCGTTACTATTACTCGTACTGCAAAGCAACTCAAGCTTTTGTTACAACTGGGCATACACTCCACTTACTACATGTAATCTGTAAATCTTGATTGAGACGAATTTTAAAATTCCTGAAAATCTGAATCTAGTCACTACCGCTTACTGTTCTACGAAATCTGAAAAATAAAAAAAAAAAATATCAATCTGCTTCTCTATAATCAAATAAAATAATACTAAAACTAAATTACAGTAGTCTTTACCATCCGTGGTCAAACAACATGCTGACACTCTCTCCGTTATTAATTCTTCTGATCGCTTCGGCAAATATTCTGCTCACATCCAACACTTCAATTTTGTCTTTTAAAATTGCCACATTATTGCTTTGTGGGACAGAGTTTGTGGTGACAACCTTGTCTATTTGACTCATCCTGATCCTATTAACAGCATCTCCACTAAAAATCCCGTGCGTGACTAAAGCATACACATACTTTGCCCCTTCATCCTTGAGAAGCTTTGCAGCTCTTGTAATTGTATATGAGGTGTCCACCAAATCGTCAATCAAAACACACACTTTGTCTTTAACATCACCAACAAGCATAGTTGTAGCAACCATTTTGGGGGTGCCCTGATGATATGGGGATTGCGGAGAATTATCTTGCGCTGGTTGTGAAATTGCGAGATCACTACCCAACGATGAGGAGGTCAGAGGTGGACCTTTTGGCAACTTGGCTCTTCTTTCCTTGTGTATGAGAGCAAAAGTGCACCCAATAGAGTCGGCAATTGCAGTAGCCCTCTTGGCACCACCAGAATCTGGACTAACAATCACACAATCACGATAGTTTGGTATGTAGTCGATGATGTAACGTTTCATTAATGGTCTTGAATGCAAGTTATCAACTGGGATGTTAAAAAATCCTTGAAACTGAGGATCGTGCAAGTCCATCGTGATTACTCTGTCTGCGCCGGCCGTGGTGAGTAAATTTGCAATCAAAGTTCCATTAGGGGAAATCCATTGCTTGTATCCGCTATCAGTCTTTCCTTGTGAATCAATTTGGGGCAAAAAGTGGGTCGCTGCAGAATTGGTAATCACCGATTTAGGAGTATATTTTGCAGTTTGTGCCAGTTTCAACGTGTCAACTCTCGGATTCTCCTTTACACCATTACCTGCATTCTCGTTCCCTTCATTGACTCGACTAAAATAGCCTCTATCTTTTGACAATGGTCGAGGAGTACTTGGGGCACTTTCAAAGGTGTACTTTTCTTTTGTGGTTGAAACACTGGGTGCCCCCGTGCTGTTGGGCATGAAGGGGACATCGGGTTGTCGTGAGTATGGGAATAAGGGCAACACCGCCGTCACTCTCTTCGCACTTGCAGTTTTGCAGGCGGATATAGTAATGAGCAATTCAATGAAAGTGTCATTGACATGTCCACAACCGCTTTGGACAATAAAGACGTCCTTTTCACGAACACTATCCTTCACGATAATCGACGTCTCCCCATTCGCGAATTTATGGGAGTCAACTTTGCCTGGCTCAATCGTCAAGTTTCGGCATATGGCTTTTGTAAGTAGAGGATGCGAAGATCCTCCAAGGACCATTATATCTCTCATCGTTGATTGCGTGGTAGGAAGTATGAGATGGGTGTTGAGAGATGTATTTTTTCTTTCTTTTTTTTTTTTGTGCGTCCTCGCAAATACAGAGCATCAACTACGAGAGGTTTGCTGGTAGTGGAGACAGCTCAAAGAAGCGTTTCTACAATCAATGTGTAGAGAATAGCCCATAGCCGTGGACATTGCAGTACTCATGGTTTCTAACACACACGAATTGCTCTCAACTAAATACACCGGGCAAAGCTCAATATCTAATCTCATATGAGCCGGATTGTGTCATATAACGAACCCACTTGACTGTCTTGTAGTTGGATTTCTCCTGTACCTTCAAGTACCGAACAGTTAATCCAGAACTCGAGAACATATCCACCACAAAGTCCAAGGTTATAGGTGGTCGGTTCCATTGCATAACTTCAGTTGGGTGCAGGTTAGTTTCAACCTCTGCCGTTAGAACATTGTCTTGTTCTCCAAATAATTTATTGAACTTCCAAATGATCGCGTTCTCTTCCGGGTGATACTTGGCTTTCCCGTTAGAGCTTGATACATTCGTCAGAGAAACCCCACGTGGCGTTGGTATAGTCATGGCAACTTCTGTGGCAGGGAGCTTTGGTGCTTGAAACGACTTCATCCGGATTTTATACATCAACCTGTTTCTTCCAACTTCTTGCACTTGTGGGTACACTTTGAATGGTAGAATGATATTGCGGTTACAATTGTAACTCATCAACTGAAACTCGCCATCTGGAGGTACAAACTGAATCGACCCATCGTTATCAAAAGCTCCCAACTCTACACATTGATGAAACTTTGTGTCCTCGAGAGCAACCGCTCCTTCCCTTGCATCACTGGTCACATCGTAGTTGGAGAGCAAGACTGTATTTTGATTAAACCCAAATCTGCACTGAGGCATGCCCGACAAATGCGTCTTCATTTTAATTGCGCCGTCTATGGAGCTGCGAAGTACCTCCCCTTGAAAATTCATCAAGACATTTACCTTCTCTAGCACGTTCAAAAAGATCTCGTTCCTCCTGTATTTGATTGTGGGAGATCTCCAAGTCACAGTTTGATACTCTGGAGCTGCCGCTGCCGCCCCTGCTGCTGCTGATTGTACTGGAGGTGTGCTTTTCTTCAGTGGCATGAATGAAGCCCGTTTGAATATACTCACACTCGAATCACTTATTCCAACGACATACTTTTTCAAATACTCCAAATCCATATTTGTGGGAAACCCATAGTCACACACCTCGCCCAAAATATCATAGCAAAGAGGGAAGTTGTTTACTATGGCCACGTCTGATAAAGTTGGCTTCACTTGCTGAGACTTCTTTTTGTTGTCTTCCCATAGTACCATGCATAAGAGCGACTCCAATTTGTACAAGAACTCCAAAATCGCCGAGCAGTCCTGATTCGATCTTGCTACCGCACATATCCACACATTACCCAGCTTTATGTAAATAAATGAGGTGGACCCCAATGTCAAAACGGGTGTTCGTTGATCTCGATTTGATTTACCCAACGAAGCCAGATTGATGACCTGAATTCGAAACACGTCAGCAATATTTCTCTTTATCTCATCCTTGTAAATTTTGGAGATGAGAATGTCTCCTTTGAAGTCGTATACGAAGATTGCAGTGATCATAGTTAAATGTTAAGAGTGTTGGTAGTATCTTATCACAAACTTTGTAAAGGGTCTGGAAACATATTTTTTCTGGAGATATATCAGTGGCTACCATTCACACCGATATACAAAACCCTAATATATGTATATATATACAGCTGTATTTACTCCTTCATCCCGGCAAGTTGCAAATTGGCCTTCTTATCATGTCGGGACTTCCGGTTATGATTCGATTTGGAAGCTTTGTTCTTTTCGTTCCTGGCATGAATGTGCTTAACTCGTTCTTTGGATTCTTGGGCATTATTTGGAGTAGGGGACTTCTTAGAAGATGCCTTATCTACTTCGTGTGCTGCCAGAGGCTCTGCTTGTTGCAGTCTATTTGGGTTTCCACCGCCATATAAGTAATCCTCTTCGAGTATCTTGTACCTTCGAGGGGATTTGAGAAGCATGCGTAGCCATCCCTCGATTTGTTCATCCGACCAATTGATGCTCTTTTTCATCTGTTGACGTTGACTGGATTTTCGTGAACTTCTGGCAAAAGCATCGGCTCCCTCTTTTTTGAATATACTGAATAGATGCCGTTCTGTTGGTTCAACTGCAGAAAACGACGGCTTCTTCTCCTCAACATCTTGTAATGGCTTTGCTCCCTTTTTCTTTCTCAAGTCTTCCTCCAAATCGGTGCCTGTGGTCTTCTCTTGATCATCGTAAGTGTCATCGGGTTCATCTTCGTCACTTTCATAAATCAACCTCAACGCCGCATTCAAAGTCTTCTTTTTCAAGTCATCATCTGCTGCACCAAGATGAGCTTTCTGTTTCTTTCCGAAAACAACGGAAGCTTTAGAAAAGTCGCCCCTTGATATATCATCGTCGTCGTATATTGACCTCTTTTGGATTGCCGTGTTAGCATTCTCCACAGTCTTTTGTATTGACGGAGTTTCCTCTATGGAGGTGATACGATCCGGATTCTCCAAAAGAAGATTAGTGACAAACTCGACATCTCCATCATGTTCTTTCAAAATCACTTTCGCCTTCTTCTCTGTCAATGCAGGAAATAAATCAACCAAAAGCGATATTCCCTCGATGTTTTCCGCAAAATCCCCTTCATTTTCGTCATCATCTATATCATTTACATCATTATTGACATGTCTGAGGAACGGTAGTCTCTCCTCCAATTTCGGTATCAAATCTTTTAAAGCATTAGATGCAATAACTGCACTGAACAAAGGTGCAATATTCAATGTGTCAACTGAAGTAATTCCCAACTCTGATGCTAACTTTGACAATTTAGGAGCTGACAAGGATATCACGGAAAGGATTATAACGTTCTTGGCTGTGTCAGCATTCGAACCCCGTCCATCAGCATAAGCTAAGTCCAAAAACTCTATCCACAGTGATGTGACAAAGGTTTCCGCAAAGTGGAGACTGTTATTTTGACTTTTATTTACTGTCTTGTTTGATCCCATCGAATAAATCGTTTTGGAAACATGCTGTCCAAGCAATATACTGAAACAACTCAAATCATTTGATGAAAACTTTCCTTCCGATATCAATTTTTCAAGATGTTTATGCAACACTGGAATTGAAGATATACTTCCAGACTTTTTATTATCGTTAAACTTTGATTTGAACGATCCATCAATGAGACTCCTCACGGTTTGTGCATTCTTTTCAGCATATATTCGAACAAAATCCCAAATCATTTCCCCACTCATGCTCAACTTTACAAAGCTAAAATTCTTGATTAGTTGAAACACATATGTACGCAAGATTTCCGAATTTCGTTTGATATCCGGATTGATAGCTCCCAAAGAAAAAACTCTCTCACTCTCAACGCTTGTTTCTTGTAAATAGAGTTTCAAAAACATCTGCAACTGTTGCTGAGACCTGACACTTAGCTTTGGTGTTTGGGGGTCGAGCAATAGTTGCATCAACTGAATGTAAGCATCTAACAAATGAGCCCAAATAACAGGGTCCTTGTCAATCATCGACGACCTGAGTTTGAACGGGGGGAAATGCGGTATCGGGATGTGTAGCAGGTCTGTTTCAGTCATGTCTCGTAAGGGTTGTAAGCGGAGGGTATTATAAACTTAGCATCTCTGGGTAGGTGAATTGAAATAAAAATAAAAAAGAGAGAGAGAAAGAGGATAACGACTTTGACTCATTAAAAATAGTCACTACGTGATTGTTTTTAGGTTGATATGTTAAATCTAAGCCTACTTTTTCTTATAAAATAGCGTCGTGACGCAGTGGAAGCGTGCAGGGCTCATAACCCTGAAGTCCCCGGATCGAAACCGGGCGACGCTAGTTTTTTTTCTGTCTTTTTTTTTCCAAAGCAAAATAGACGATTTCTCGACCCTTCCTGCTCTACAACCTCAATACGGATCCTCCTAGCTTGCATTTCCTCCTTGTATGATCATACAGTGATCTAGCCGGCAATTCATAGGACATGGTCACTAAGTACCCATTCGTAATTTTTTTTTTCTTTTTTTTTTTTTGCATCAATTTCAAATGAAAAGGTGCAAAGTATGAAAACTATTTCTACGTCAAATTGTCTATATGAAATATAACCGTCTATTCAACATTCATCTATAACTACCTTTCGTCCCAAAATTTCCTTAATCTTTCTCCGGCTGCTTTGTATACCGCAATATCCTCATCCGTCATCACAGGAAACTCACGTCCAACCTTTGTCTTTTCCAGTACTTGACCCAATTGAGTCAACGTCCTCGCATACTCCAAAGCATCAGTTACACCAATTGTGTGGAAAAGTCTCGAGTTTCCTTTCGATTGGTATCTCTCTTTGACCCATTCAAGCTGTTTATTTCGCGAAACCAACTCAATCTTGCCTGTCAAGTACCTGGCTAATAAAATCGCTTGGTATTCAAACACTCTGAAGGAGACGCCATCTATAGGAACACCTATGATGGTAATCAATGGCTCATTGATGATGAATGTGTGTTGGTATAAGTTGGACACCGTGATTCCTTCATTGGTGAGTGACTTGTCAAACAATCTATCCAAAAAGGGATAGGAAAATAGATAGCCAGTGCAATATATTATATGGTCAGGATTCGTAAGTGTAGAACCATCCGCAAATGTCACAGTAATACCATTATTGTCATCAGACAATTGTATGTTTTCGATTACAGGCTTACTGTGTACATTTGGCCTTGTTGAGAGAACTTTGGTGCGGTCAAGGTTTCGAATGGATTGGTAAACCGTAGTCCCAGGCTCTTTAGCAACAAACTTGGCTAGATCACTACCCGACGCACGAGAACCAACAACAACTACCGTTTTGTTTTTGTATGAGTCTGAATCACGGTAGAATTTGGCATGTTGCACCACATTTGGAAACTTTTCTTGCACTTCTTGTAATCCAGGCACATGAGGAATATAAGGAACGTGGTAATGACCAGTGGCAACAACAATAGAGTCAAACTCTTGCTGGTACCAATAATCTTGTTTGTCGTCGAATTGTTCTCGCACGGTCAATTTGAATCTATACGGCAAAATTGTAGTCAGATCATCATTTCTATCCACTCTTTCCACATCTTCAACAGTTGATCCAAGTTTCAAAGTGACTCTAGGGTCGTCCAAATTTCGACCAACATAGTTTTCAATATATTCTTGCACCACAGTGCCCTCCACATATTTTCGGTCTTCGGCAGTACCCTCTACTGGCCATTCGTTCAGGTCACTATAAGTCATCATCTTTTCAATGATGTTGGTTTTTATCCCATAATAACTGGGCGTTTGAATAAACCGTTCTTGAGTGCTTTTTGGTAAAATCAACTTTCGCGTGTATTTGTGATCATGAAATGGGTTTTCCAATTGTGGATCATTTTGGAAATTGATATTACCTGCTTTTATTATGTGGTTGGGTGTTTGTATAGTTTCTGGATTAAAGTACCAGACCCCTCCCAACTTTTGTTGTCTTTCAAAAACGGTTATACTTTTGATGTTGGAGTTCGGCTCTTTGAGTAAACTATCCAAGATGATGGCTCCAGAAGCACCACCACCGATGATGGCTATGTTTTCAATTTGCGACAGTGATAACAGGACCGGCTTTTCGTAGTTTAGATTGGAAACAGATGGCATAGTGGGAAATGAATGTGTGTGTGTGTGTGTGTGTGTGTGTGTGTTGCAGAGACGAAGCTGAAAATAGTCAAGAGTAAATTTAAAGAGACATTATACTCAATTTATACTGTAAAGCCAACAACTCCATAAAATCAACTGATTTTTCTTTTCTGTTTGATAAGGGGGTCTCTAACGTGAAAGATAAATTACATATTGAAATGTGCTGATTTGCAGCCACAGTTTCCACATTGGGAAAATAATCCGCAACTTGACCAAGAGAGAGAGAAAAAAAAAACACAACAACTGGATTCCAAAGAGAGCCACAATTTTGTGAGAGAGAGAGAGAGAGAGAGCTGATGATGAGCCCAAATGAAAGTATTGTAAAGTCTCCTTGAGAGATACATGTTGTTTCAAAAAGTCTCAATTGCGCAAAATTAAGATGTGTCACAGCAGCTAACCGATTTCAACACTTGAACGAAAAATTTCTTGGTCGACCCTTTTTTTGAGATTCAGGTTCCTTCAGCCCGAATTATTATAATAGCTGATGAAACTCAGCAGTTCGGTAGAGGAAAAGGAAAGATGTGCGCAATTTTAAAGACCTCGGTAGTACACCTAAGGTTTATTCATATTTGGGAAACGCCTTTGCGAGATAATCTACGGTGTGCGCCTCACCAACTTGTCTCAAATAGGAAACATACCACGTGCGATGAAATTTACACTTTTTCCTCCTTTTTTTTTTTTGTCAGTTCACTTAATTGACTTGACACAAAATGCAAGGAGAGATGCTCATGCTTTGTGGTGCTCTTCCAACTCGGTGTTCATTAACAATTAGCCTCAGGCGGCACTTCGAAAATACGACCAAAACTTTTTCATCTCATCTCCTATATAAGAGAGCAGAAAACTGAGTCTTTTATTTTTTGGCATTTCGTTCTGTATCAATCTATTTTCTCATTCATTTGATTATAATCTACATTGACCATGGTTACTCAAAGGGATATTGACTTGAACGCTCCTTTGGATGCTAATGCCCCATCAAGTTTGAGCAAATCGCCATTGACTCCCGAATTGACAAAAGCCGCAATCACTTTACACGGGGACAGATACAAGCAATCGCAAGCTAACTTGACTCGGTTTGTGATATGGCATCCCTATTTTGTTGCATTGTATTCCATGATATTCCCAACTGTGTTGGCGTATTACTTGTGGGACTACATCTCAATAAGTGACAATTTAGTTGAAATGTACTTTATCGTGTCTAGGAACAAGAGAGACTTCATTTTCCACATTATTAAAGCTATTCCGACAATAGCTGGTATTTTCGGTATATTTGGATACATTGCATACATATTGGGGGACCAACTCGGAAGCATAACTCATCGATACGTGGCTGAAAAGTATTGTAATTTCACTTTTGGATTTGATATCAAAGAATTTGCCCAAGACCCTAAAACCCCACTTTTGAAGAACGGAAAGAATTCAGAATTGATCATTTACAGAAATCAACCAATTGCTATAGCCACACTCAAGCCAGATTTGGAGCAGTCAACTCCAGAAAATTTCATTGTGGTTATTACCGGTATCCATGTTAGAAAAGTTTTCAACACCGTTGATTTTGATCTGTTGTTGATTGAATGGGCCGTTTTGAGATCAAGAGAGTTGTATCAAGAGTTTTTGCTTAAAAAGGGCTCCAAAGTTAAAAATGGAACTATATTTGTCACCACTGATTCTTACTCGTTTGACAAACAGCAACAGACAACATTGTCACGTTGTGGATTCAAGTTACTTAGCTCATCATTGGAGTTGAACCCATTTGATCCTACTTCAAAATCATACGAAAGAAGTTTCAACAACTTCCTTGGTATTGCTAGAAATACTTTTGGACTTTTATTGACCACAGAAAGGGATGATGTGGAATTGCTCAAGGGATCCGATTTACTCGAAAAGGACCAAGTCAAGAAGAGGCATTAACAGTGACGCTGTACTTTTTTTTTTTTTTTTTTTTTTTTAAAGAAGAAGAATTATTCTTCTTCTTTATAACTACTTCATTGTATTTAATCTAACAAACCAGAGGTCTTTTTCCTTCTTCTTTGCCTTTGCACTCTAATGACAATCCACGCAAACCAGAGGAAAACGGCAGCACTGACGATGTAGATGAGAATTTTGCCGAACCATAGCGTGTTGCCCATCATTCTCCTTAAGAACGTTGCATCGGCATCTCCGTACTTTTCCAATCTTTCCTTCCTCTCTCTTTCCTTGATCCTCTTTTCAGCATTCTTTAAACGTTTCAAACTCTTTCGACGTTGTGAGGTCAACTTCTTCTTAAATGCTCTATGTCTGCCACCTGATTTCTTTGCTTGCTGGCTGAGTTGGTTATTAATTCCAGCTAGATTGCTTTCTTCCTGTTCATATTCATTCTGCTCTTGGATCAAGTCGTTTAATTCATCAATGGACTCGACGAATCCTCCATTTGGTTTGTATAATGCGTAAATTTTATTCTCCAATATATCAACGTTTTCAAACAATTGCCCTGTCTCAGCACTTAAACCAAGGAATTTGATAACGGGCAATTGAACGTCAGTTAGCGTGACGCAATTTTCCCAATCTTCGTGTTTACCATTGTAGTTGAAGTCAATGGAGAGATACCCATTCTTGATATATACCAATCTCATTTTCGTTTCCTTTGAAGAAGGATTCACGAGTGCTTTTGCCAGACAACCAGCCAATCGAGTTTCATATCCATCAGTAGCCTTATTGTACCGAGCTTGTCCATCGCCCATCATCAAATTCACAAAGGGGAACTGACCACGTTTTCCATTTTTATAAGTATCCATCATAATACCGAGCCCGGTAAACTCATTACGAACTCCGAAAACATCTCCAATATCACTGGGTTTATCCAAGAACCACACTGCTAATCCATCACCTACCAATCCATGCTTAGCTTCAGTGTTGTGGATGTGGAAAGTCAATTCCATTTCAAATGACTCTGCTTGTATTGGCATCTTGCTAAACATATTGGATACTGAATGGGGGACCAATGATGTTAACCGAATGTATTCATTATTCTCAACAAGTGGATTACCGTTAAGATTCCAATTCTTTACGTGGAAATGCGTCTCATCTAGAAAAGGCTTCGCCAAAGCTTGCGCGGTCAATTCCGTCTTTCTCAAAGCAACAATATGCGACTCTTTGTTCTGCAACAATGTATTGATTTCCTCTGGTGTATACGTCGACCCAGAAAAGAAGTTGAAGACATTGGAATAGTAGATGATGAATAGGGTAAAGAATCCAGCCAATGCCAATAGTGACTGTAGTGGCTTCGACTGCTGAACACTTTTCTGGAATGACATGCAGTGCAAATGGTCAAAAAAAAGTTTTGTTTAGTGGATGAGTACCGGTATCTATACTGATGCAGATAATTGGATTCGCTAAAATGTTTTGAAGAAAAATGGATGTGGGTCGGTGGACAACGCACACAAATATTCCACCCCATCTTCCCACAGCAGTCCAAGAAGCAAGAGAGCTAGCTACATCTTAGGTGTATTCAAAATCATCCTATTTACATGACTGGAATGACGTGCAACTGACCTATATATCTACTTGCCAAATACTATAGTTCTCATCGCTGTTAGCAAGGATTCCCTCTTTTCACCTCTAATTTCACTCATCAACCGCATGTAGTACTCTGGGTTCCCCTTTGGTTTCAACAACTTATCATCAAGCTTGTAGTAGTTCTTGTACTTGTCATTAACCAATTCCTTCAATGCTATGAACTGTAGTTTTAAATCTTGCTCTGAAATCGAGGATACCACATCTCGATCCTCAAATCTTTTTAATTGTGATTCCTTGAACGAGGCATAAGGTTTCAACCTCTCGTTGGGCAACGTCTTCAATACTGATATCAACTTTTGCGTTATTTGCGCTTTGGAAGAGCTCATTCTTGACGATGAGTAAGATAGACTAACCTCCTGTATTTTGTTGGTGTGAGAGAGATCTTGTGAAATTTTTCTCGAGTAGTAAGATTGTGCAATGAGAAGTTCATCCCTCCCCAGATAGGTATTAAATCTGCAGCAATAATACCTAAACTGTGAGATAGATGCAGTATAACACTAAGAGAAGCTCTATTATTATACGTAGGAATTACGCCCTGGCTAGGCTACGCTCGCTCTCTACTAAAACAGGACCTTGTTTAGATTCCCTCATTGATAAGATTTCTAAGCTGCATCTAAACAATCCAAGTCCATTTTTTCAGACACATGTTCTTCAAGCGAGTTAGCATCTAGGTAAAGTACTTGCTGAGAAGAACTCTGTTTCCAATCTTGTGATGCAGTTGATTGCATTGCAATGTAACATTTGAAAGAGCTTTTTTTTTAAAAAAAAATTGCAATGCCACTCACAAATAATTAAATTCCAAATCATGGAGGACTGCCGCCTACTTTTCAAAGCCGTTTATCAAAAATCATACATTCCTCTATTGTGTGTATTAGCACAACCCCATTCGTTGGCATCAAAT